TGATGGGTAACTAGGGGTGGACAATTCACGCTAGTCCAGCCAGAGATGCCCACATCCCTTGATTTTTTTTTAAGTTTAAAAATTTATTTTGTTCACCCACAGGATGCAAATGGCTCTTACAAAGTCTGCATTTGTTACACGTCCCTATATCATTTCAGAGGGCATTTAAGAGTCTGGGATTGCATAACATATCTTGCCCTAAAAGGACATGAGTAAACCAGGTAGTTCTTATGACGATTCAGAGGTTTTCTGGTCACTATTAGCAATGCTGGCCTTTTAATTCCAGATTTATTAACTGAATTTAATTACTAAATCTGCGGTGAGGGGTAGATGGCCAAGTGGTGTTATTGCTGGACTGTTAATCCAGAGAGCCAGATAACATTCTGGGGCCCGGGTTCAAATCCCATCACGGCAGATGGTGGAATCTGAATTCAACAAATATCTGAAATTAAGAATCTAGTGATGACCATGAATTTATTGTCAATTGTCAGGAAAAACCCATCTGGTTCACTAATGCCCATTCGGGAATGAAACTACCATCCTTACCTGGTGTGGTCTACATATGACTCCAAATTCACAGCAATGTGGTTGACTCTTAACTGCCCTCTGGGCAATTAGGGATGGGTAATACATGCCTAGCCAGCGACACCCTCATCCTGTGAATAAATAAAGACGACAAAGTACATCCTGAGCCTACTTAACATGGAGAGACCAGTAACTAGGTTCCAAAGTGATTAACTGAAGTAGGTACAATTTTATTGTTATTGGGGTAGGGGTAGGGGTAGGGTTAGAACAGCATGAGATCAGTAAAAAGCTGAAAGAACTGCAGACGTTGGAAATCAGAAACAAAAACAGAAATTACTGGAAAAGCTCAGCAGTTCTGGCAGTATCTGTGGAGAGAAATTAGAGTTAACATTTTGGGTCCGGTGACCCTTCTTCAGAACTTATGGTTTCTAGGCAAAAGTTGTTTTTTATGCAGAGGATAGGGTGGATAGAGGGGGGTGAGGTGTAAACGATAGGTGGAGATAGAGCCCCAAAGAGAGAGAACAACAGTTGGACAGACAAAGGATTGGATAACAGTCAGCCTAAGAGAATGAATGGCTGCTAATGGGGGTTATTAGTGGCTAAGAATGGGTAGTGTACAATAGCAGACCATGTTCATGTGTGGCATGAACTGCCATAGGAAGTGGTGGATGCAGGTACAGTTACAACAGTTAAAAGACATTTGGATAAGTACGTAATTGTTGGAAAACCCATCTGGTTCACTAATGTCCTTCAGGGAAGGAAATCTGCCATCCTCACCTGGTCTGGCCTACATGTGACTACAGACCCACAGAAATGTGGTTGACTCTCAATTGCCCTCTGAAATGGCCGAGCAAGCCACTTGGTTGTGCCAATCGCTACAAAGTCTCAAAGAAATGAAACCGGATGGATCTTCTGGCATCAACCTAGGCACCAGAGAAGACAACGGCAGAAACAGCCCTGTCAACCATGCAAAGTCCTCCTCACTAACATCAGGGGGTTATCATTGACCAGAATCTCAACTGGACTCACCACATAAACACAATGGCTACAAGAGCAGGTCAGAAGCTGGGAATACCGTAGTGAGTAACTCACCTCCTGACTCCTCAAAGCCTGACCAATATCTACAAGGCACAAGTCAGGAGTGTGATGGAATACTCCCCACTTGCCTGAATGAGTGCAGCCCCAACAACACTCAAGAAGCTTGACACCATCCAGGTCAAAGCAGCCCGCTTGATTGGCGCCACATCCACAAGCATCCACTCCCTCCACCACTGACGCTCAGTAGCAGCAGTGTGCACTTATCTACAAGATGCACTGCAGGAATTCACCAAAGGTCCTCAGACAGCACCTTCCAAACCCACCACCACTTTCACCTAGAAGGACAAGAGGCAACAGACATATGGGAACACCAGCACCTCCAAGCCACTCACGATCCTGATTTGGAAATATATCACCATTCCTTCACTGTCGCTGGGTCAAAATCCTGGAACTACCTCCTTAGTGACATTGTAGGTCAACCCACAGCAGGAGGACTGCAGCAGTTCAAGAAGGCAGCTCACCACCACCACCTTCTCAAGGGCAACTAGGGATGGGCAAGGAATGCTGGTCAGTGACGCTTACATCCCAGAAAAAAAAAAGCAAACAGGAAGGATTTGGAGGAATATGGGCCGAATATGGGCCAAATACAGGCAAGTGGGACTAGTTTAGTTTGGGAACATTATCAGTGTGGACCTGTTGGATCAAAGGGTCTGTTTCCATGCTGTCTGGCTCTGTGATAACAAGGCCTGCTGTACGGGCATTGGAGTAAGGACATGGGAGAAGGTGCTTTTTTGCAGACAGAATGGAGCTGTTCTGCAAAGCATTCACCCAGTCTACACTTTGCTTCCCCAATGTAGAGGAGACCACAATGTGAGCAATGAATGTAGTAGACTAGACTGAGTGAAGTGCAGATAAAGTGCTGCTTCACCTGGAATGAATTGCGCCTTGGATACTGAGGAGGGAAGAAGTAAACGGATAGGTGGTACATCTTCTGCAGTTATCTACTGGTGGTATCCCGTTGGAGGTGTTGGAAATGGCAGCCAATAATCCTTTATATGTGGATACTGGTGCAATGGTAGGTGACAAGGAGGACCCTAACGCTGTTGTGGGAAGGAGGAGAGAGGGTGAGGGCTGAAGTGCAGGTGCTGGGTTGGACTCGGCTGAACGCACTGTCATTATGGTGCTGGGGCATCCTTGGTTGAGGAAGGTGGTCATTTCAGAAGCCCCTTGTCAAAGTTAGCATCATCAGAACAGATGTGATGGAGAAACAGAGAATGGAATAGTCTCTGCAGGAAGAGTGAGAGGATATGTAGTCAAGTTGGGAGTTGGTTGGTCTGTAGTGGATATTGGTGGCCAGCCTATCCACAGAAACAGAAATGTCGAGGAAGGGAAGGGAGGAGTCAGATATGGAACAGGTTAGAGTGACAGCAGGGTGGAAATTGGAAATGAAAGAGATCAGTATTGTTTTTATAGCTTTAGGCAAGAGTCAAAGAGCTTGACATTAACTTTTAGACTATAGATATTTGATGAGTTATTCAGGTCTTGGTCCGATTTTTCAAGTATCAATGAATTCGCAATTGTCAACCACAAACCCGTGGTGCATATACGGTAGAATGAACATTAACATTTCTATCTATTCAATATATAGATTTCAAGTCATGCAAAATTTTAAATGGACTTCATTTCTTTACTTCTCAGAATTATGACCTTTTTTGTACAGCCACCTTGGGAGTCTTCCTTCTGTAGGATGTGACTGGTCCTTTAAGCTTCTTTTCAGTTTTTTGGGTGCTCAGGAAATTGATGCATGAAATAGTTATCTAACAAACCATGACCCCCACACCCATAAAAAAAATTGAACTACTGCCAAGTTGACAGTTAGCTTTCTTGACTCAGGGATCTGATAATGACATTATAATCCCTCATTTATCTCTAGGAGGCCTTTGACAAGGTGCTATACAGAAGGCTGCTCAGTAAGAGGAGAACCCATGGTATTAGGGGTAAGGTACTGGCAAGGGTAGAGGAGTGGCTGACTGACAGAAAGCAGAGAGTAGGGATAAAAGGGTCTTTTTCAAGATGGCAGCTAGTGACTGTTCTGTTCTACAGGGGTCAGTGTTGGGACCACAGCTATTCACATTATACATTAATGATCTGGACGAAGGAACCAAAGGCAAAGGCATTGTGTCATCTGCAAACTTAACAACAAAGACAGGTGGAGGGACAGGGAGACTGCAGATTGGACAGGCTAGGAGAGTGGGCGAAGTAGCAGCAAATGGAATACAAATGTCAGAAAGTGTGAAGTTACGCACTTTAGTAAGAAGAATAAAAGCAAAGACTATTTTCAAAATGGGAAAGGCTTTGGAAATCTGCAGCAAAAAGGGACTTTGAGTCCTACTTCAGGGTTCTCTTAAAGTTATAATACAGGTTCAGTTGGCAGTAGGAAATGCAAACGCAATGTTAGCATTCATCTCAAAAGGGCTAGAATACAAGAGCAGAGATGTACTGCTGAGGCTGTATAATGCTCTGGTCAGCCCGCACTTGGAATATCATGAGCAGTTTTGGCCCCTGTATCTAAGGAACGGTGTGCTGGCATTGGAGGAGATCTGGAGGAGATCCAAAGGAGATTTATAAGAATGATCCCAGAGATTAAAGGCTTGTCACATGAGGAGCAGTTAAAGACTCTGGGTCTGTACTCGATGGAGGATCCGATTGAAACTCACAGAATACTGATAGGCCCGAATGGAGTGCCTCAGGAGAGGCCTTCTGAAATAAAAAAAATGAGTGATTATAGAGACACTATCAGACTCCCTTGCGGGAGGCAACTCCCTACTGGCATTATTGTTAGACTATTAATCCAGAGACCCAGGTAACATTTCTGGTGACCTGGGTTCAAATTCCACCTTGACAAATGGTGGGATTTGAATTCAATAAAAATCTGGAATTGAGAGGCTTAGGATGATCATGAAATGTTGTCGATTGTTGGAAAAACCCATCTGGTTCACTAATGTCCTTTAGGGAAGGAAACTGCCATCCTTACCTGGTCTGGCCTACATGTGACTCCAGACCCACAGCAACGCGGTTGACTCTTAACTGCCGTTTAGGCAATAAATGCTGGCCCAGCCAGTAATGCCTACATCCCTTGAATGAATAATAATTCATCATTTTTGGGGGGGGGGGGGCAACAGGTTTGAGACATAGACTGACTGTTATTGCAGGACGGACAGACTCGATGTGCCAAATGGTCTAATTCTGCTCCGCTATCTTATGGTCATTTCCCAATATTCATTACCACCTAGCAACAGCTGTTGGAAAAAATACACGGGTGGATGCCACTTCCTATCATTCTTTAAGATGAGTATCAACTCTGCTTTCAAAATTCACTGCCAAGGTTTGGACCTGAACTGTGCCCACAGGGGAGGCAATGAAAGAAACACACAGTCTTTTAGTCCATTTCTTTATTCTATTTGCCATTTTCAAAGGCCAATAAAGTATGATACAGCATTGCTCTTACAACATTTAATCATTATATTTCATACATTTCCATACAGCATATAAACAAAGTATGAAATGGTGCTAGTTTGAACATAACATTTGCAGTACCGTATAATACAATGCATTTATAAACATAACCTGATTTCCATAAAACAGAAACATCCAACTTAATTGTTCATCCCTAATGGGGATCTTTATTAGTGTAGTCACTTTAATAAAGTCATAAATATTTAGAATCAGACTACAATTACTTTGACTGAAATTACAATACAATTATTCTGCTTAAGCGTACCTACAGTTTACCTAAGGAACACTAGGTCATTAATTGCATTTAACCTTTCCTTATCCATAAGGTCACAAACAGTGTTTTTGAGACAGCAATGAAAATGTTGATGATTGTTAAGACAACGATGGTCAATTTAAACGGGTAACTAGTTATTGGGCTTAACCTTTATTAAACAGAGTTAATAATACCTTTTAATGTAAAGCATGTGTAGTTTTCACAACGTTGCCATAGTGCAGAGGTTATCAGTATTTTGGAAAAAAGATGTGCAAAATCTTGACAGCAATCAAATCCCACTTGACTAAATTATAAATGGTTACAATCCAACCAGATTATTCACTGGTTAATATCAATTTATCAAATCAAGCAGCTCTGAATAGTTTGTACCACGATCCTTTATGAATTCATGAAGTAGGTTTGAACACTTCATGGATTGGAAAGAGTTAAAAACAGCAGAGTTTATAAACTCATGAATATCACAGCTCAGGAAATAAGATAATCACAGAATTAACATATGCCATCACAGTTCCTAGCACGTAAAAAACAAATTATTGGCAAATGTGAAATTAACTGATTTATTGCAATCTGACCGATCTGAATTTGGTCACAGACACAAGCAACTGGAACCACAGGATTAAGACTGGAAATGGGACATAAATTTACATTACAGATTTGCATGAATATATAACGTGCATGCAGAAAATTAGGAAAATAAAATGTCACAAACATCCAGTTTGTTAAAACTAAGACAACAATTAACAAAGCATGCAATAAAAAAGTTCTAAATGATCAGGTACCCATCTCAGGATGCCAATACAATTAGATCACATTCTTATTTGGAGACAGGACAAAATAAATCTAATTGCACTGTTCAATGTAAGTTTTCTTCAAAAGGGAGTGTATGGGAAGTCCTCCACTGGGGCTACGTTTTAGTGTTAATGCTGCTGATGGATTGATAAAGGTACAAGTTCAGGAAATGTACTCCCTCTGCACCAAATAAAATATACTTAAGGAATGCAACAAATCTGCCCCCTGCATAAAGCAAAAACAATAGTTTGTTTTTTTTTTGAGTATAATATATTTTTCAAATAGCTACAGATCAGCTCAGTTAACAGTTCTTCGGGTGCTATGCGTTCTGTGTACATTTAGAAAATCCTGTGATTACCTTCCTCTGTACCTTGGTAAAGCTCACAGAAGCAGACATATACAGCAGCATCCAAAGATATCTACGTACCTAAGTGCAGTACCACAAAATACTTCTACAAAACTGCCAGCAAATCAGCACATGCAGAGAAATGAAGGAGTTTAAGACATTGACGAGTATGGCCTGAAACCTGCTCGGAGTATTTATTCATGAAACTTTACACAATAGTTGACGGGAAGATACCCCGCTGGAATTTAAAAGTAACTGTGCAATGAAATTTGCGCAATTGCATTAGTGACTACAGGCATCTAGATGCCACCATCAGGTTAATAGTGGCACTTCAAATCAAATCATATGCAGTCTCTACAAAGTACATTGAAATTACCAGACTTAAATACTTCCATTAAAGTCCCAGCATTTTTTTTTGAAAAACACTTTCAGTGTGTCTTGGTCACCAGTGCTGAAGAATGAAACCACTTTCCACTTTTACATTTGTGGCAATACCAATGATTCAAGGTCAAATAGCAGAGTTTCATGAATGTTTTGACCCCTACAGCAGATATGTAGCCAAATATGGCAGCATTTAAGAATCTTGATTCCACCAAAATTTCTTACTAGCTTAGTGATAAGGCACTTCCTTCTCACCTCTATTATTTTACAGATTTAGTCAGGCAAAACCTTACATTCCAAACATATTTGTAATATTTGAATCTTGGCATTAGTAGCATCTGACTTCTAATATACCCACCCTCGCAAACACAAAATGAAAACACTAATATTTAAAAAACAGACACCTGCTACCAGCCAATCTATATGGCAACTTAGGCACTTGAGCTGTAAAAGAATCTTCAGTGCTAATCTGTAAACACAACTGTAATCAGCAGTCTCAGCAACTGATCAGAGGTCAAAATTCTTCCTTTTAACAAAAAAATGGGCACAGGAGATGAAGTGGCCTTCTAAATGATTTGGTAAGGAGAGATAAGCTTGAAATTTAAATTAAAAACACATTACATCCTGCTGACTCAAGTTGCAGAGGAAACATCACAGCCAGTATTTTAAGGCTAACATTGTACAACTTGGAGCTTTAATTGCTATAGATCTGGCCAAGCCAGGAATAACAAAGACATGCAATGGTACTTAGCTTTCATCCTTCATTTTTAACATCCATCGTTTGATGTTAACTGCATGGTTTTGAATTACAAGAGAGCTGGTGGAAAACCCCAAATAAAAATCCAGACTACACAATAATCTCTAATAACAACTGGTAGTGGTTTAGAGTGCTGTAAGTGATCTGTAGTTTAAGCAGTATAACAATGGACACAGTCTCAGTGTCAACTAGCATTTGACCTCCATACCTAACAGCTGTTTAGAGTAATTTGTGGCTGCAGGGCAGACGAGAGCAGTACTCTCTCACCCCTAGACATCTAGATTCAAATTCCACAAATTTAAGGCCATAAATTAAAAAAAAAACAAAAAAATTCCGACTGGTCTTCATTCAGTTTCTAGTTGGAATCTTGTGCTCAAAATCAACACTAATCTGGTACAGATTAGAAATTTTCATCTAAGACAAACCAAGAAAGACTGCTACAGAACTCAAATTGTTGCAGTTCAGGACTTAAAAGCTATGCTTATCTTCAAATCTGTTTTGAACAATGCCCGATCCAGGAGTGCAAAAGAGGGCATGAAGTGGAAAAAGTGAGTTTCATTCTTTAGCCCTGGTTAACCTCACCCTGATGAGTACATGTACATACATACAGAAGATAATACTGTGAAGCCATTTATTTGGCGAATGAAGTTCAAAAGTTGTGCACAGAACTGGAGTAGTTCAAATTCAGTGCAAAGGACAAAATCCCTCACAGCCATGGTGAACAATACAGACAATCCTGAAATGAACATACAAATAACAAAGGCCACGTATACTTGTTGAATGGAAGTCAACTTAACCTGTTCAGAAACTAAAAATTGCCAACTCTACCCAACATCAGAAAATATAAATGCAATTTAGCAACTCCTAGTTTTCAAAATGTGTTAACAAACATTTCAAAGCTGCAATATATTCTCACTAATACTTGCTAAAAACATAATACGAAAATACTTAAACATATACAATGTATGACTGGACGACTGAAATGTTAAGCCTCATTATAATACAATATTGTTTACACTAATCTCAAATTATAGAGCAGAATTAATTGTAAACTAAACTATTATGATACTTCAGTTCCATCTAGTGGTATGCTGGGGTAGTGACTAATTGGAAATTCCAGCTGTTGTTTTGCTCCTGTCAGTTTTCCCATTTAAAAGATACTGATTTAAAAGATACTCGTTAATCAGATGAGATTTGACAGTGAATATGATAGTTCACTTTGGGAGACAGAGGATAACCATAACCAAGTCCAACCTTGTCCTCAGGCATCCTCGTATGCACATCAGCAGCAGGAGTCACTGGATTGCAAAGTTTACTCACAGCGGCCACTTTTAACTTACATTTTCCCTTAAACCCAGAAGCACGGAGGACAATTACCCTAACTGAATTAGCTGACTGACCTGATAACCAGAGATTCACTGCATTACTTCGCTAGGTCACTTGATGAGCTCAGCACATACTCCATTTTGTTTTCTATACCTCTACTTTGGAATTATTTTATGATTCCCAAGCATTTCTTCTCATAAATGAACGACATGTAGAATATCTTTTAACTGTTAAACTAGCAAATGGCGCTATGTGAGCACAGCTATGAAGTACTTTGACTTTCTTCGCTCTGCTTAGAAAAGCTTCATTTATTTGCACAGCTAACCAAATTTAGGGATCTAAGAACACTGTGTGGAACGCCAACTCTCAGCCACATTCTACAGTTTCTACATGTGCCACACCAGTTCCTGTGCCAAAGAAAGGCATTAATTTCAGGTGAAAATATGATTGCATAATGGAAAGAAGTTCAGTAATACTTTCTTCTAAATTCGTCTTTATAAGTAGAGCCTTTTTATTATAGAATATCCATAAAACAAGAACAAGTTAAAATACTGCACCATCTACGTCTAAACATCATGGTAACTGTAAATTCAAAGTGGAAGGGCTCTTGTGGTGCAGTGGTAGTGTCCCTCTCTCTCAGCCAACTTCAAGTACCACCTGCTCCAGAGGTGAAAATAGCTAAATTCAAAACAGGGGTAGATAGCATAGTTGTTAAAGGAATTAAGCAGAGCCTTTTCTATCTGAATAACAAATACAATTAACTCCAGGAATGTCACATGAATTAATAAAATTCAACAATATCACAATGGCCATCTTTGCAATGAGTTTTAAAACAAAAATGTTTAAACGTTAAATATAGTTAAAAGACTTGTGATTTAAAACTGACAGATGGGGGATATTTAAACATCAAATCAAAACACTTATTGTCACTAAGTGATATTTTCAGTTTAAAACGGACATTTTGAGGATGCAATGATGCCCTTCATTCTTTTTCATAGCTACTTTACACACACATCAACTTGCTCCCAGTAAATTTGAAACATGGAAAATATATCGCAGCTTTGAAAGTTGTATTGAGAAAGTCAAGCAAAACACAAATGTCAGGCTATGCAGTGCCGGAACTTAGTACAATATTTGCATTCCCACATACCTCAGCAGAAATGCTTATGGCCAAACACTCTTGTACTCATTGTTGGATTAAAATGTGAAATTCAAGCTGAAGAAAGAATTATGGTGTTTTTGTTAAACTACAGCCAAAGTACAACATACAAATAAGTCACTAATTTTAAAGTTCCAACAATCAAAAGGAACAAGCAAGTCTCAGTGTAAACAAAGGAACCAGACAGACTGGATTTTGTTAAACACTACATCATCTTATCTCATGCTTGGAGGGTTGGCACTTTTTTGGCACATTTTATAATGTTTTAGAACCCTGAAAATGTCAAGATTCAATTACAGAACAAGAAATAAGAGTTAAGGATGTTCAATAAAAATTGCAGAAATTCAGTTCAATGAATTTTCACCGTTTGATGGAAGATTTATTCATGCAACCTGTATAAGGGAATGGTACATACTTTCAAATATAGAGTGCTCCCACACACAACTCCTTATGTAACTAGTGGGAAAAAGACTAAACGTTTGGGATATTTTCCTTTCTGATTTAGAGGCGGCATACTGGAAACTCGAGAAAATTGAAATCTCGTTGCACATATCAGTACTAATTCTACTGTAGAAATTACTGCTACATAATCATTTGCTCACCCAAAATTTCAAATTACAGCTTGGACCCCTAATTCTTATCTGAAGAAACAGGTTTAAATACTCCCTAGGTTGCAACATTTTTATACAACGTCAACTGCCTTTCAAGTCAAATTTACCTTGCCAATTCTTTTTTGCTGCTTTTCCATTTCTCACTTTTTCTTCCATCCCCACAAGTCATTGAAGTGAGCAAGTGAGTAGACAAGAGCTCACTCTCCACAATCCTGCCTCAGTATTTTGTGAAAGTGATCACTATTCAAGTGTAAGAATGCAACAAAGCGTTCCACCTTGAATAAGGAGGACATTTGAGCCGAAAATCTCACTTCACCTGAAATCCATGTATACCCCCTTTCTCCAGGTGCCATGAGGCTGCAGTTAAGAGCGACGTTGCTGGCTTTTCACCCCCTCCCAAACCAACCGCTGTCATCGCAGAAATCAGTCAATTCAACCAGGTTGAACTGTTAACTTTCCTACTAGATTCAGATCAGTTACTCACAAGATAAACGTAGAGGCATTTATGGAGCACAAATTATTACATTTGTGCAAGGCCGATCTTATGAACATGAACTGATCATTTAAGAATCTTGGCCAGTTGAATGTGATTTGATTCTTTTGTTGATAAATAAAGCAAAAGCATTTCCAATGAGTAGGCACCCTTTGAAATTTGTAGCAAACATCCTTACTCCTTTGACAGTTATTTCTCTGAGCAAATCTGTGTAGCTTTTACATCTTTCACTATTCAATACAGAGCAAAACAATGTTGACTGATGCATAGCAATGACTGTCACTAAACAGCTTAAACAGCTTCCCAACATCTGGATCAAAGAGACAGTATCTGTTTTCATGGATTTATACATGAAATATTTCAAAAAAGCATTAAAAAGGCCATATCAAAAAAAATCCATTTCTTAAAGTAAATGATCCTATTTCCTTTTGAAAATAGCAGCCCACCAAGCTTCATATCATTAACAAAGGATCACTGCAGGAATGTAGTAACAAGTTAAAGTCATTTTGAAATGCCTGTGTACTTAGAACCTTTTAAACAGAGACCATCCCTTTAAAAAAAGGCAAAGTTTTACTCAAAGTAGAAAATGTAGACGATAATGTACCATATTTGACACTTCAGAAGTAGAACATTTTCTATGAATTCATTTTAATGGCAAATTATGGCTAGCAGTGGGTCCCAACAAATGAAGAGCTGAAATAAAACATAGAAGAAAGGTTAAAAGCATCAACACTGGTCTGATTATTCCAGTAAAGTAACACCTGACTTGCTAAAATTGTACTTAGCTTTGGTTTCTCTTGCAACATCTCATTTTGCATAACACTACAGATCATACAGGAACATGTCAATTGCCCAAAGAAAAGCAAAAAAAAAAAAATCACTAGAGGTGTTTCCTCTGATGTTTTAAACACCATAAAAAGACAAAACACAGATACAAACACAAAAACCAATACAAATACTTTGAAAATAATGACTGATTATAGTTTTGCAAAAGATAAGAAAGCTAGAATTGGGACTTCCCATTCCTGTCAAATAAACCCTCTCAGAAAGAATTTTAGGTGCTAACATTTCCTTTCACAGGCTACATGAAAATGGCCAGTTTAGTAAGGTATTTATGGAGCCTGTATCAGAGGATAAATGACTGGGGTAGAAAGGGGTAGAAAATAAAGAGGGTAAGCAATGCTGCCACATTTATACTAAATGCCTCCTAACTTCGTGGATTATCATTTCTTACCCAATTATAATGCAATTATTTAACAACTTCAAAAATACTGACATTTTAAATTCCAAAACGACCCAACAAGAAATAATCATACAGTTTTCAAGACAAAACCTCTTCTGAACATCTGTCTGATTATAACAATTAAATAAATAACTTTGGGTTCATCTCATAGCTCAATGGATAAATCCATCCCATTGCTTATTACTAAGCCTAAGAAGTGGAAATGAACACTGAGAATGCAAATCAACACAGAGTAACCACCAACTCAAGAAAGGACCCTCCACACCGGAAACCTGCAAGGGTACGGTTCCACGGCTGTACATTGGGGTCCCTGCCCAAAAGTTGAAACCTTGACCAAGGAAACCATAGAAATAGCGGGTTCTTGGTAAAATGTAGCATTTCTTTTAAATGCCACATATTGTAACACCAATCACTTGCTTGGCACTAACATTTCTACAGACTTGTATCTTCATTATTTTATTACGCTCTGCTCCAATAGATCTATTGGACATGGATCAGTGTTATCTGTTTGGGAGGTCTACATGACTGTGCTGAAACTCTGCAACCCTACTTTTCTCTTTACAGTAGCTTGGTATCCCATTGGGCATTTCCAATATATAGTGTTTTATTCCATATTTCATTTTCCGTTGTTTTAAGAAAAAGGACAGAAAGCAGCCAGTTGCTATCCTTTACTTTTGTGAATCAGCTGACCTGGGCAGGGGAGACTGTGGGGGCATTAAAGGTAAAAATCAACATGAGTTTCCACCAGAGTGTTCTTATCAGAAATTTGGCATAGGTGATCAAAAAGGTTCAGCTATACTGCAACTCATTGTACAATACTTGCTCAGAATCATGCAGGAAGCATGTCAACTTGCTGTACAGCAACAACTCTAACAATGGACTAGTATCCCAACTTGAACAGGAAGCTGTAAATACTAATATCCAAAGAACAAAATTTGCTAAGGCTTACAACGGCAGATCTGTACTGTTGTGCCTCGTCTTCCTTGATGTCCCATCATCCCTTGGTAGTGCTTTTTGCAAACTGGACATAGCAGCTGTCTTTTTAATGTCTATCACAGCGTAAAACTCAGTCCTACGTGTCGGAGTTGGCGGAACAGGAGTGCTGGGCATTTTGGGAGTCTGGGGGTTATCAGAGTCACTCCCACCCTCCAGATCCACTTGGATGTAATTTAACTGTCTTTGTTCGGGGCACGGACGCTTAAAGTCAAAGCTGAAGACGTTCGGGGTGCAATCCCGCCTCCGGGTAAAGTCTACTTTATGTAAACCAGGTTGAATAGTTACATTCTCAGTATTGACATAATTCCGCAGTGGGTCAAGATTATTGTGGTATCCATTTTGTGGAGGGGTTCCAGGGTCACTCCAGTCCTCTTCCTCCCGCCTTTGTGTCTGGCTTTCCCACACAGGAGGTAAAGAGGGCAGATTTTCATAGTTCAGCATGGCTGTCTTCCTAGGTGCACAGTTGTTAAGGTTCTGGCCATCACCACCCACCTTGAGCCGTCCTCGTCGTAACCCTGTGCTAGCAGACACAAGTAAACCATTGATATTCTCATAAGTCATCTTACTGTTGGACCCACATGCCATGCTGTGCTCATCACCATCGTGGACATTATCTCGGTCCATAAAACTCAAGCCACTGCCACCATGTTCTGCGTGATCTTTCTGTCTCTCTATTCTTTCACGCTCCATTATTCGTTTCTGAACTGGTGTTGGTCCTAGCACAAACTTGACCTCCCCCGGCTGCAGGAGAACTTGAGGAGCTCTGTCCTCTGTTGCAGGGCAGTGATTTGCATGGCTTCGCATCATTTCAGAGACAGATGACCGTGCCTCTGTCAGACCATGAACAGAAGGTCTTTTCTTCCGCTCCTCATCAACATTGGATGTATTCACATATGTATGAATCTGTTGGAAGAGGGACCACAAAACATTGCTGAACACTATTATAGGTGCTAAGTATTTGTAAGCATTACCAAAAATTTAATCAGAAGTGAACATAGATCAAACCGGTTTACAATTAATGGTGTGAATAAAATCATTTGAAATTTCCAAATATTACTTCTGAGACCGATTGTATTAGTTCAACTGAAAAGATTCTCAGCCCACATATCTATAGTATTATCTATTAACAATAGATTATGATATTCCTCAAGTTTAACCAATTTTTAAAAAATCAATAATGTCCCAGAATCAATCGTCTGCCTCATGTCCTAAAAATCAATTATTATGCTGTGAATTCAGTTTGAGCAGTGTAATGAAATAGTAAAATAATTCTATTGATTTCTATCGTGTACAATTTGGTTAGGTTAGTACCATAAAGGATAGCTTAGTATTTAATCTTTCCAACAAAAAAAACTGTCATATTTCTTAACACTTCTAAAATTAAATTAAATTAAATACTCACTGATAAAGCAGATAGTTTAACATTGAAATTATGTTTCTGAATCAAATAATATTTCAGAATTTTAATGCTAAGCAATTTTGTTAATTTTATATAAAATCTATTCTGATGACAAGACAATGGCTCAGAAAAATATTACTTGTAATGCTAACCACTTTATTATTTCTATGAATTATGTGCAGTATCCTGGGGTTAAAATAATTGCCAGAATGTAGCAATTTCAATTTAAATTAAGAAAATGTCAGCATGAGAACTTTAACAGGTTTAGTACTACGCTGCTCCAGAAGTTACTGCTGCAGTAGAATTAAGTGCTAAATTCTGATCGCTTCGCCAAGGAAGTCAGTCCTAACTTCTCTTAATAGCAAAGTTTCTCATGCCTGCAACCATTCTTGTAAATCTCTTCTGCACTTGGTCCATTGCTTTCACATCTTTCCCGAAGTATGGCACCCAAAACTGTACACAATACTCCAGGTGAAGTCGAATTAGCACCTTGTACATAGTGGAACTTTCAATATATGAATTAAGATGGTCATAATTAGATGTGCACGTACCTGATCATCACCACCTACGATTAAAGGATGTGTAGAATCTTCGCCCACTGAGGAGAGACGTGTGCTTCCTATAGAGGGATGCCTAGTTGATGGGTGAGAGGAGCCATCACCCATTTGTGGATAACAAGGGAATCCATTTGAAAGTCCTGGCATAGCAAATCCAGGAGCTGAAAGAATTATTTCCACTCAGCTTTACTTTAGCAAGTTAAATTGCACATTCACATTAACAAACTATTACAAATTACCATTTTCAGTTCCATATTTATTCGTTTACCGTCAACCATTTCACATTCACGGAAAGGCCATTGGACCTTTCCAAGAAATTCAACAGGAAGGTCATTTTCAGATTACACAGAGTTACACAAGCATCAATTCAACAGATATATATGAAATATGATAAACACAAATCAGTTTTCTACAGAGAAACAAAAGCTATAGAATTAAATTGTGTGTATGCTACAGACAGCTAAAGACGGAATCTCTATGCTTACACTCCTTTTCTGCCACTTCTTCCTTTTACATTCATCCTTGTAAACAACTGAAGTTACTTACAAACTTAAGTCAAGCTTTTGTTATTCCACTGACCACAATGTTTCTGTACTTGTTCATTTGCTTGATTACTCCCTCAATCCATCCATGACGTCCTTGTGCGCAAAAGACTTAGTCTCACTCACCCCAACTGGTATGGTTCCCACCACTGTTCCCATAAGGGACTGGCACTTTAATCTATATCTAGTGCATAAAACAGTTTAGCCAGTTACCAAAACACATTGAGACAAGTGGGCCTTAGTTTCCTCTGCTAAACCATTCACTACAGCTGCATTGCAAAGATAACTGCCAGGTTATTTTCGCTAACACCAAATTTCACCATAAACACATCATCTCTTCCCTACCCTTCCAGCTTCAAGTCCAATGACTGCAACAAGTTTGTGGACTTTGTCATCAGTTGCTTATGCTATTTGCCCTCTCATGTTCCCATTGTGAACTAAGCTACATCTCCTTCTGGACCCCTCTCGCTACCATAAGCCTGAACTTGTGATTTTCTTCAATTTCCCTCTCATCGTCCCTTCAGGCCCCGTTAAATTCATAACTCACAGAATATGCTTCCTAATCCTTTGATCTGTTCTCACTAAACTGCTGACTACCAACATCCCTTCCCAGCCCTCACACCGGCTGAAACTGCAAACAAATTCCCTCTCCTTGTATACTGGAGCTACCCTCCCTGATATGTAAAAACTGAAGTTGTTACTCTGCTCTACTTTGTTGATACAAACTAATAGCCTCACTTCTAATTTCCCAAATTCTTAAATATTGCATACCTCCTAATTCACTATACATCTTTTGCACAGATCCCTGTGATATCGCTCTCAACAAGTTTGTAATCCGTCATGAGCACAAAAAAAATTTCGCGACAAGGTATCGCAAATGACAGCCACACACAAATTAGTGCCTTTAATCGCTTTTTTTTTTCCATCTGCAGCCTTCCAGACAGTTAACCTCACCGTTCTCATCCAAATGTCTTCTTTTATCGAGGTCTATGAGACTTATGCTTGGTTACATGCTTAACATCATAACTATAGCTAAAGAACCAACAAAAATTGTTTTTTTAATTTCTATATCCCCACCATTATAACAGAGCATCTATACTCCTGGGCTTCTCTTCTTCCTGTCGACAATGTGGCTCTTTGCAAAGTCATCCAGACACAGGATCAGTTTCTACCTATATGTTTAGTTTATGCTCAACCATCGTTGTTTAATTTCCCTCAGCCCTACAACACTAACATGTGCTCCATTAATTCTGGTCTTTTTAGAATCGGATTTTAATTTCTCCACAATTGATGGCTGACTCTGCTCTAGGTTCTGGAATTTCTTCATGAGACTCTGCCTCGTTCCTCCTTAAACCCTCCCTCTTTGACCAAGCTTTGACTATCTATCCCAGTTTCTTATGTGGCTAATGTTACATCTCACATTATAAAAGTGCTCTTATGAAGCATCCTGGGAACTTTTATTATAAGAAAGTCACTACATAATTAAAAGGTGGTGCTGCTGTTGCTTCAGTCTTGTCATAACGCTCATTCAACATCCTCAATTTCCATCCTCCATAAAATTCAACTTTTTCAACACCCTTCTGACTTGGTCTTTTTCTCCATTCCTTTACCTCATCACCAGTAAACATGCCTTTAGCCATTTAGGCCTCAAGTTCCAAATTTTGTTCACTTAATCCTCCACTGCTCAATGTCTTTCTCCTCCCTTAAAGCCCTCCTGAAAAATCAGCCTCTTGAGTAAAACCTCACCTTATCACCCCTCCCAATAACTCTTCTTTGGGTTTGTACTCACAGTACGAAGGCAACTGCTAAAGCACCTGGGGACATTTGTTATTCATTAAGAGTAATGCATCAATGCAATTTGTTGTTGGAGTTTGTTATAACAAAGGTAACATAACATTAGGGTTATCATAGGGAATATAATATATTTATCCACGACAACTAATCCAATAACATTTTTTTCTTTCAAATCTAGCAACCAAGTAAGCACTTTCCTCAAATCACTCACTGGTTGGCGTCTGAGGTGTCCTTGGTAGATCAAGTTCTGTTGGATGAGTGTTTCTTGATATCATCATGGGCTCCTCAACTACATTAATACTGTTACACTGCATGATCTCCTGGAGAAGGTTAAAGATCTCCTCAGCACGTGCACACTTGAAGGCAAAAATACCTGCCAAGAAAGTAACAGTCAGTTACTGCATAAAGGCACATTCAAAAGAAAAACGGAATATCGTTTTGAGGTTTTTCTCCATGGCATCCAGGACTATTTGCTGGGTTCACCACCTGCAATCAGCCAGTGTTTTTTGTCAAGTTATTCCAATTTCATGCACTGTAAAACTCAGTTACCCATAACCAGCAAAAAAAGGATTGAAAATAGCTGTATACAAACACCGCCGTTAAGTACTACTCTAACAAAACCAGCCAACAATTCTTTGTACAGCCAGTATGGTTGTCTTGCATTTTCCTGCTGCAACCTAAATCAGGACTTCAAGTTTTCCAGCAGTTACTTGTAGCAAGCAGTAGGTGGTGCACAGAAGCCATTCATTTAAAATATTATTGGGCTTTCAAAATCAAATTCTGTTGGAGAGAAATCTGTTTTAATATCTTTGACTAAACAAACAAACAGCTCAAATACGTAGGTGTCTTTCCACAATGTAACAATGTGTTCTTATAAACATTGTCTTGAACTCAGGGCACGTACACAACACAGTAGTTACAACATGTGAGGAGGCTATTCAGTCTATTGCATCCATGATGGCTCTCAACAGAAGCACAACTCATCTTTTGGCTGTGTAGCCTAAATCGATAATAACACTCTACTCTTACCGCCTCCTACCCAACTTCATCTTCTGTTCCTTTCTCCCACCTATTCCCATCCAGGTTTCCTGAACGTATCCATTTAATTAGCAAGTTGAAATTGCATATAAATGTGAACAATCATCATCTCCTGGACTTTGTTTGAGCAATCAGAGAAAAGTCTCAACTTCTCTTGGACTAACCAAGAGTTTTTCTCCCACCCAACCCCCCCCATGCAACACACACCACCAACTCACTTTTCTTTTGCCACTGAGGAAACAACTTGGCTAACTGTGGGGTGCAAGACTTCATCATTTACTGGACGGAGTTGGTTAGGTAGACCCAATCAGCTATCTTCACTTGCTGTTTTTTACTGTTAATTTTTCTCTCCGAATTGTTGAAAGATGTTAAACTCCTTTTGGAAGTCAAAGCCTACTGAGGAAGAAATTTGGATCCTGCACTAGACTGAAGTGAGTTTAGATAGAGTAGATTGCATATTGTTCACCAATGACCCAAAACATTCATTTCTCTAGAATTTTCTTTAAACAAGGGAAGTGAAACCTTGAATTCCCATATTTGGTTATACTGAAGACCAGTAACCCAACAGACTGAAATAAGTCTAATTCAAATTTTGCTATATTGGACTCTGATTTTAACTGAAGGTTTACAATAGCGTTCTGCCCTTCCAAAAGTGTGTTTTTTAAGATCTGTTTAGTACATTCAAAAAGAACAAAGAGCTTCTGTAATACTAATGGATTGTTCCATTGACAATTCAAAAACTAACCTTGCCCAGTCTGACATCTTCTCCCACTCTCAAATGAGAAGAGGTTGGAGTCATACCCATAACGCCGCAGACAGAGATATGGCCATCTCACAGCATCTCGTTTTCTGGTGTGCAAAATTAGCTCAGAGTTGGTCAGTTCCATGATTCCAGAACCCAGCTCATTACCATCATCATCTACGTTTGTCACCTGTGGAACAGTGTCATTTTCAAGACACACAGTAAATTATGGTGATGTTATTATCTACCTTTTCTACAACTGTATATTTACAATAACTATATTTACCTTTGCACGACTTCCATTGTTCCCATGTTCTGTGTCAGAAGAAGGCATTCAAATGCTTGCCCAGCATCAAGCTGCACAGGAGTTCAAAATGGTCATAGCTAAACAAATTGAAAACCAAAGCCTTTCCACAAACTCTCAAACTGTGCAGCGTCACCCAGGAACCCAACATCTTTGTTCAAGTAAAATGCAACAATGCACTACCTTGATGTCTTCCTCAATTACAAGATAAGTTTCCAGACTACAAAGTGCAGGAATTTTCTTCATGTTGACATCCAAAATGCAGCTCAATCAATCAGTAATGGAAGCAACAATTTAGCTCTGTACTCTTGCCTCACAATTTTAAAAAAAAACCACTTTAAACTTGAACACAATCTGCAATTCACAGTTAGGTGCACACATCAAGAGGTTCATAATAACAAGTAGCATCTCTCTGGAAAGCTAAACCAAGATACTATCTGCTTGTCAGAGAAATTTAACCAGGTTTGTTAAGAGCAGAGAAGTTCTTCAGTTTCAATGGAAATGATAGATTTTGGAATGTCCTCAGGGTACAAAAGGAAACAAAAAGGTACAAACACAAATCTTTTGTTGCCCCCATATTAAATATTTCAAACATCTCCTTTGCAAGACTCCCAAGCTCCAGTCTTTACAAAATCCAACTCTTTCATTATTCCACTGTCATTTCTGCTCCTGCATAAATGTTTGCTGCCCTTGTTGAGCTCCACTGGTTTCCTAATCCATCGTACAACAATTTAAAAATATGGTTTGTCTTTACATTTAGTCTATGGCTTTGCGCCTCTCCACGAAAATACCACAGTCCTATGTCCGTTCTAGCACCTTCTAATCATACAGCTTGACCATTAGCAGCACTTCATCCATCTTACTGGCACACTCTGGATTTATGTACCTAAAACTCCCTGAAAGTCTCAAAACAAATTTTCACCACACTTCGAGACAGCTCCTAACTTCCCTGCTCATCTTTTTCTGAATTCCTAAATGCAAAGCAGTGTGGGATATTATTCCAAATGACAAACATTGCCCTTGAGTTCGCAGTCGGCAGGAAAAAGAGAACTCAATCCCAAAAGGAAGAGACCATAAAATCTAATGACTGGTTTCATCTTTCCCAAGATTTATTTAATTCTGGATCAATGGGTGACCTTTGGTATATAGAGAAAGTCTTTTATATCCAGCAACAGCGGCAACATCAAAAACTGACAGACAGCAAATCAGGAAGAATAAAAACATTGTTGCTCCTGCAATTTTTAAGACAGTGAAATAAAAATTAGGACACAAACTGAAATACCGTTAAACTTTAAAAATAGATGGACATCACCATAATGGAGATTTTTGACTCTTTGAATAAAATTAAACTTTTCAGATTCAGAGAGGTGAATCAGTGGTAGTTATGACTCAAAGCTGCTTAATGACCAGTGAAGCCTCATTCAACAAGGCACAACTTAGTCAAGGATTTTCACAGCAGGACTAACAGCATAATAAGTGGATATCCAAGTCACTGTCAGTGAATTCTATATTTCCATCTGCAGGGACTTGAACAGGCCTATTTTCTCCAGATTGAAGTCTTCAGGAAAATAACAGGAAGGACAGGGTAGATAAAAATGACCTATTCCCACTCGTTGGCAATTCTAGAACTAGGGGGCATAGTCTGAGAATTAGGGTCAGACTATTCAGGACAGATGTTAGGAAGCACTCTTACAGACAAAGGGTTGTAGATATTTGGAAATCTCTTCCAAAAATGGCAATGGACCAGTTGTTAATTTTAAATCCGAGATCGTTTTTGTTAAGCAAATTTATTAAGGGATATGGGCCAAAGGTAGGCATATGGAGTTAAACCACTGATCAGCCATGATCTTTCTGAATGGCAGAGCAGCCTCAAGGGTCTGAATGGTCTGCTCTTGTTCCTACATTCCTAACATCACATCCTGAGGAGAAACAAGCAAATCACTAGCAGCAGCTTCTACATTTTCACATTTAATTATGGACATCCAAATGTCCGAAGTTGCAGCCATTTGAGGTCATTATGTCAGGTGTCCAAACCACAGCTTCTTGTTCATATGCATGGTAATGTTACTCCATGCTCAAGCAATTCAATTCTATTATTCTACTTGCTAATTCATAGATTGCAAATCTACAGGAACATGAAATTCAATTTCCTCAACTAATGCATAAATACCAAATTGGTGCAGCAAGTCAGGTCAGTACCCACTATTTGAAATCTATGCCAAAAACTTCAGGATTTGTGCTCGAGTGGCCCATTAAACAAAGAATTTGTGCTTTCCAGTATTCTGTAAATTTAGGTTGCTATTACTTACTGCAAATAGGAAAATTAAGAACTGATCCAGGTTTTACAAAAACTTTTTTGTCAGCTAACGAGGCTTCAACTAAGTACAGCAAAATGTTCTAATTGTTTTGGATTGTGGGAAATAAACAGCTACCTTGAATTTGGTTGGGTGGTTGTCTGTGATCGTGTCTTTATCCAGACAGCTCCAGCAGCTCCCCATGGCTTCAGCAGACCAGCTGATCTCTGCATTGAACAAATTAATATATACAGGTGAACTGTGGAGCTCCAATCCAACGTAAAAATTGTGTCAATACATAGCATTAACTGTCAAACTACTAAGCACCAAATTTTCTGCATGAGCTCCACTTTGTTCAGCTTATGAAGTTATTAATTTTTCTGCAATTTATAACGTAATTAATTTTTCCAGTTTGAAAATTCTGGTGGGAAGAACAAATTTTAAGCTCAATACCTAATAAGCTTTTATACAAAGATTGTATCTCTCATAGAAAGGCGAACAAACAAACAATCTACACCCGGTCTTCTGCCAATATTGTTCTGTAACAAGCCATTAAGCGATGCAGTGGCCCTCAAACTCCAGAGACCAGTTTCCCTTTAGTAACCTCAAAAGTCTCCTGCATGCTTCATCTGAGTCATTGCTGAACTGACTTTTCCATTCACTCCCTCTCCTCTGCTGAACGCTTCCCCCAACTGAGATTGGTTAAAAAAAAGAGAACAGGTGTTTCAAAATTCAATTATTTTGCATGAGTACTTCAATTTACTTTCATTTAAAAAAATGCACACAATCTTGTCTATCATTCAATTTTTCATTGTTCATACACCATTCAGTAAAATGTAGAGCTATTTTCCAACTTCAAACATTCATTTGATATTTAACGTTTGATGTCACATTTCCAGTCCTCACTAACTATTCCATTCACAGGGCATCAAAATTTTACAAGTACTCATTTCTCCCACAACCCAGAGCCTTGTAAAACACTATCTGAGCAACAACTAACTACCATGTCTTTATTATCTCATCTCTCAAGTGACCATTTTGAAGAGTATTGCTAAAGAAACTCCAGCAGCACTTTATGAAACATGAAGTTCAATTGTGTTGGGACAGCCTAAAAGTTGTTACTTAAATGCAAGTTCTATGCTGCTTGATAAAATAATTTATAAATGCATCGTCTTAAAATAAAAGCTAATTTGCAGATCAAACATGCCTTTGTGTTTCAAAGACAGTTCTTGTGGTTGGAATGCTTAAAACAAATATTTTGTTTTTAATGCCATTTGCATATTTAAGCAATAGTACCTACCATCGTAAGAAATGTTGCACAAAGCAAACTTGAACAAAATGGAGATGCACCAATTGTTTTGGTAAGAATTTTTTTGGAATGGAACTTCTCAGTTACTTGGAACCTACTTGTACACCAATATTCTAGAGTCCAAATTTGACATCTACACCCATGATAACGTTAGAACTGACCATTTACAAGTTGGATTTTATCTTCAGAACATACAGCACATTTATTAAACAAGGTATCCTTTTCAGGAGCTTATAAATCAAAAGGCATACACAGTCCCAGTCCAATATTTGAGCACATAGTCTCAAGAGCTCACAATTCACTGGTGCCATCACTTGGAAACGATGTTAAGTCAAGATCTTGCCTTTCTACCCAGGTGGATATTAAAGATGCCAATGTTCAATTGAAGAAAATCATTCAAATTCTCCATTATCCTTGTACAACAAGAATTCATGCCGCACCACCAAAAGGAAAACAAACAGACTCACCCTTTGGGATATTTCTAAAGATGTATCAGCTGTTGCAAGTCTTTACATGATAACAGTAACATTTCAAAACGTAAATTGTCTGAAGTGATTTAAGCTATTTTTAAAAAGCTAAAGGAGAACTCAAATTGCTTTTCAGGAAAGCATGTCTCAGCAAAAAAGAAAAAAAAAATGGCCATCTTATCATTCACCGACTTACTTCTGTATACCTCAGGAGGCGGTAGTGAAGATGAATATTTTGGTTATGTAGATTGAACTGTCCGTTCTTACCTAGCCTTGGCCATTAGTGGGAAAGCTGCCAATTCTCAGTTCCAGGTGCCTCTGCTTGGAGTCATGGTAAATGAATTCAAGCCATCATTGAGTACTCGTGTCTTCAACCTAATATTAAAGTATCAAAGCGATAGGATCAGGCAGTATAGTTCTATCCTAACCAAGAATATTCAATGTGGAGATATTAATCTCAAGAACATAAAAATTATCCACACTTCCAAAATGTTTAAAGTACAGACCTTCACTCATTTTTACCTGTATTATAAATAGTAGCTAGCTCTTTTAACTGTCCATTCTGCTGTGAAAGACAGCTACCGGTGATCAGATATCGAACTATAGGAATAGGACAGTGAAATCCCATGAGAGTTTTAGCCACTGTCCACATACCTTCCAAAGTCACTGAACAGCAATAAAAGCAGCAGCATTTAGTCTCAACACCCTTGGGTGTCCCTTCTGTCACTTCTTATAACCTTCCTAATCTGTATAACTCTTCATATTGAGGATTTATTTAAGCTATAAATCATAAACAGGGCAGGGGACTCAACGATTATATTACATCAGTTTGGTACATTTTATTTTGAAAATTCTGCAGCATTCATCCAGGCAATACATTCAGTTTATAGATTTTATACATGGCAAAAAGCAACCCCTTCAGAAACTTATTTTAAGAAAATGATGTACAAAAATGATTATTTTTCCAGAGAAAACTAATGCAATAGGAATAAATGAAAATTACTGAAGACCCAAAACAAATAAAGATAAGTCTGCTTATAAAGGTACATATCAAATTCTGTGTAGACTTCGCAATACAGCATTGTGAATACTCACAAAGGGTTGCCACAGTCCTCTGCAGATTATAGACAATGCAGAACAGTTCCCAGTATTGCTGTGACAGCACTTTAAAAACAAATTCAACAATGCAATATATTCAGAATCCTAGGGAGTGAGTTAAAAGCTGTAACATAATCTTAGTGCAGAGGTTTAGAAACAGATTATGCATTTCTTCTCAGTGCATATCAAATGCTGATTGAAAATCTACCCTCAAGTATTGATCAGTTAACAGTGTGTAGTGGTAGAAGCATCAATGACATTAACACCTTTACATTTAGAGCTATTCACTTCAGTAACAATGCACTTGTGATTTTCATTAAACCATCATTTGCCACAGGGAGGCGATTCTAACAGCTTTTAGTGGAGACAGAGGTCTGAATTTAGAATTATTTTGAACAAAAGCAAAGTCACAAAAGAACAAAATAAGTTGACAGTAAAGAATAGAACATTCAAAAGTTGTAGTGTCAATATTCTCCTATATCCTCCATCAAGATTTTACAGAGCAGATTGAAATCATTCCAGTTTCAACCTGCTCTTGCTTTTTAGCTTACATTATAGCATTCCATTGAGAAGATTTGTCATAATTCCAGAGAAGTAAATAGTAAGCTCATAAATCAGTCACATACAAAATTTATAAAAGCAGGTTGTACCATAGCTAAGACGCTGTCCAAATCACAGTGTTTTTAGAGGTTTGGCATCAGTCTTGGTCAGAATGATGTGCAGAGTTACCAAGCAAAAACTGTACTTTTCCAGAGGGAAGTTGGCAGAATCCAAGAGCACTACTCAAACTCATCACCACAGAATAGCTAAAGAATTACACGGGGAACACAAGAAACAAGTAGCTACTTGGCTTCTTGGTCAAGCATGGGAGTGGCACAAGGTTAACATGCAAAATACATGAAAATTCTAAAATAATAACAGCAATCAGCATTGTGGTATAGTGAGTTGTGGGATGTGGTACTTGCACAATTTGGAAGAGGAGATGGGAAGGAAAATGAAGAGACCATGATTTCGTCAAATCACTCTCTAGAATGTCCTTGAGACTGACGCACAGTGGCAATGGCAGGGCCCCAGCAATCAGCTATCCACAGTTAGTATGTGGTCCAGGAAACAAAACAAATGAAGAGAAAAATTTCTAGGGTTAAATAAGAGTATGAGATTTACATGATGAACGACCAAAGTATTTAACTCAAATTCAGCAAATCAATGCACGACCATAAATGTTGCCATGCAACCGACACAATCAATCAGTGTCACAGAAATCGCACTAACCCCCCTTTGAAAATGAAATGTCAAAAACATAAAAGCTCTGATCACAGTCAAGGATGAAACTTTAACACTGATCTGCAGGGAAAGGGCCTGTAGCTGTTAGTACTTCGCAGCATGCTGCAGGGATGTACATGAATTACAGAGCAGAGTTCAACAGGATACAAAAATATTTCTAGTGTTTGATGAAATGGAACCACTAACACAAACAGGGAGACTGTATCCTAGTGCTGACTAGAACAGATGTTGATTGTCCAATTTCAAAATAATTTCAACAGAAAAGCTACATTACTCAAGTGATGTGGGCTCACTACCCAGTCCAATGTTTTTATTTTGTATTCCAACGTGAACAAGACAATTTTGATTCTCTTTTTCTCTTACTGCAATGAGAGGCGGCTGGTAAAACCTAATCAAGTGGTTACGGCCAAAGATAATTGGACCCTGTACATATTCATGAATTTAAAAAATCCAAGAAATCTGTTGGTTGTGAATGCAAGAAAATACTGTGAGAAAATACAATGAGAAATCACTTTAAGATTTCGCTGAATCAAAGTCCTAAACTTCTTTCAAAACATGCAAGACCGTGAAGGGAGCTGCCTAGAGGGAAGCTAAGAGGGTGCTTCCTCTTTGTGAGATAGTTTAGAACTAGGAGACACCATTTAAAGTTGAGGAATCTCCCATGTGAGACCAGGAAGGCGAGGTTTTTTTTGGTCTCAGCAGGGCTGTTAGTCCTTTGAATACACTTTCCAAGACAGTAATTGAGAGATTGTCATTAAATATATTCAAGGCAGAGTTAGATTGTTGATCAAAAAGGGAGTCAAGGGTTGTGGGGTGCTGATAGGAAAGGAAATTAAGGCCACAAAAGATATAACTGAATGATGAAGCAGGCATGAGAGCCCAAATGGTCCACGACTGCTCCTAATTCTGTGTTCTCGTGAACTCCCTAACTCCCTGGAATGCAACAGTCCAAGAACGCGGTTCACCACCACATCCTCAAGGGCAATTAAAATATGCAATAAATGCTGACTTTTACCAGTGATGCCCACATCCCACGAGTGAATAAAAAGACAGCATATAGGTTCAGATGCATAGAAAGACACAATGCTGGTTTCCAAGAACTACATTTCAATGAAATTTAAACTTGGGAAAAGAAAGGGTTGCTGACAGATATCCTTTAAGCTGCATCCAGAATTACCTCTTACATGCTGCACACAAGTCAATCCCTCTAAGTTACTCTGATCATACACAGTAATTTAAAAAGGGTCCACAAACTTAAACAGCTCAACTGCACGCTACACAAAAAAAGAATTTAGAGGCTCCCATGCTCACCGATCAAAACAATTCCAGCTTGGGCCCACACCTAAAAGATAAAACAATCTAGATTCTATAAACGTTGCTTGATCTGACTGCTTCTAACATTGTCTTTATTTCAGATTTACAGCACTTGCTTTTTAGTTTTAGACTTTCCTCGATGATTCAGCAATCTAGCATAAAATTCTAAATATTTTCTCCCACACTTAAGTAAATTCATCTACTAAAGGGCAGAAGCACTCATATCAATACCATGTCTGAAATTCCTTAACATTTTTCAACACTTTTCTGTGACAAAACATCATGGAAGATCTCCAGTTTATTTTCTAGGACTAGAAAATTTTTAAGGCATGCTGTGATTAAGATTTCACTTAAATGCAATGATGATGGGTGTGTATAATTCTGGTCATGGACCCTTGAATTGTGAAAGTACCCCACAGTGCAATTACAGATTGTTACTCTTCCAGATGGGCTGTGCCTCGATAGATGATTTTCAGTTATATAAAACCAGGGTGAAGTACTGCTGGTTACAGGACTGTCACTGATGCCAGTAATTTGAGGTGATGAATTAAAGCTGTGCTTACATTCACTACTGGTTTGAGGCCAACTGCTGCACTCAGTGGTTTGCAGCTGGCAACACCTAATTTAAAAGTCTTGGCTGCGAAAGAAAGACATGCTAGTACGTGTGTAGAGTTTTGCTCTCAAATGGTAAATCTTAAATGTTTTGCATGTGTGCAGGGGGACCCACATTATCTAACACATTCACTTAGGAATTATTCCAATCCTCGCTTACCGCAAGTTTTACTTGTTGCTGCCTGACATCCAAGTGATGGGATACAACGTCACAAAGATCAGAAAACGATCTTTGGTTGTACAATCACTTTGCTTCACAACAAAGGAGCCACAACTCAGTGATGCAAAAATACATTAAATCACAATCGTAAAGCAGAGAGTTTAAATAAACCGATGTGCATGGTTTTCTGACAGGCATTGGCGTCCTATACATTTAAACAGATCTGGTGACAACACTGTGCTGCAAGTACTAGCAATTCATTAGGTCACAGCTAGCCACGACATATACATTAGGGATTACACTCATCTAATGAGTGGAGATGAGTATGGAAATATAAACCAATCCCTGACTGAGTGGTTCTGCTACTTATGCAAGATGAGCCAACATTCCAAACACAATTGTTCACACTTGTTCAGTGCTTTTTTTGTCTTCATTGATAAGCGAAAGACTGCCAACATCTGCTTAAAGTCACATTTGTGATAACATGTAATTGTGAAGTAACGAAATCATGCTGAAAATGTACATTATCTCAACACTAGACACTGAGACACAGAGGCATTAAATCCCTGAAGGTTGTGCAGAAAAGAGACAACATTATTTACTACAAAGTAGTCACTTGGTTCCAGCACAGGAGCAGGAGCAGGAGCAGGAGCAGGAGTTTCCATTCAGCCCCAAGTCTGTTCCATTGTTCTTAATCACGGCTGATCATCTATGGCAATACCACAATGGCACACTATCCCCATATTCTTTAATGCTCATTGGTAGAGAAATTTATCAATTGCTATCTTGAATTAACTCAACATCTGAGCCTCCACATCCCTCTGGGGGAGAAAATTCTAAAGCTTTACTGCTCTTTGAATGAAGAAGTTCTTCATCTCAATCCTACCGGCTTGCCTTTTAACGAGAT